AAAAAGTGAAGAAGAAACATGTGGCTGGCCTTACTCACTTTCTAAGCACCAATAATTAAGGTATTAGGTAGCCCGGCTGGCATGGCTCAGTGGTTGAGCGTCAACCTATGAATCAGCAGGTCACAGTTCCATTCCCGGTCAGGGCACATGCCTGGGCTCGATCCTGTGTGGGGCGTGCAGGAGGCAGCTGATCAATGAGTCTCTCTCATTATTGATGTTCCTATCTCTCTTTCACTCTCCCTTCCTCTCTGAAATCAATAAGAAATTATATATATATATATATATATATATATATATATATATATATATATATATATTTTTTTTTTTTTTTTTGAATTAAGGTATTATTTACATCGTTTCAGTTGTTCCTGTCAGTGCCCCTAGGACCTAGCTTCATTTCACATGAGAGAAGGGAATCTTAGGAAGGTTAAGTTCACTTGCTAGAATGCTAGTCCTGAGCTTATTTCAGAGCCTGCATTATATATATATATATATATATATATATATATATATATATATATATATATATATATATATATAAAATTTTTTTACAGAGAGGAAGAGAGAGGGACAGAGAGCTAGAAACATCAATGAGAGAGAATCACCAATCAGCTGCCTCTTGCACACCCCCTACAGGGGATGTGCCCGCAACCATGGTACATGCCCTTGACCGGAATCGAACCCGGGACACTTCAGTCAGCAGGCTGACGCTCTATCCACTGAGCCAAACTGGTTTCAGCAAAGCCTGCATTCTTGACCGCTTCTCTATACCGAATGGCTGGACCTTAGTCCAAGAGGGAAACGGCAAAGACCAAACAGCTTCCAGTGCTCAAAGCTTCCTTGTGAGAGCCCTGAGACAGTTTCTCAGGTTTCAAGAGAAGTGTCTTGTGGGAGGAGAGCCGGGGTGCAGAAAGCGAAGACCCCATCCCTGGTTTCTGAAAGGCATTCTGAAACCATGTTTTTGGCTTGAGGCAAGATACAAGCACTGAATCAACACTGTACTGGGCAGCTGGACCAGTAGGACCAGGTAGGGAATGTAAACGTGTCCAACATCCAGGTATGAGAAATGCCACAGCCTAAGCTCAACAATCAGTGGCAGCTGCAGTGGGCCTCAGGGTTAGAAAAGAAACAGGGCCCTAACTGGTGTGGCTCAGTGGATAGAGCGTTGGCCTGCAGACTGAAGGGTCCTGGGTTTGATTCCAATCAAGGGCATGTACCTTGGTTGCAGGCTCGATCCTCAGTAGGGGGCGTGCAGGAGGCAGCTGATGGATGATTCTCATCCATGTTTCTATCTCCCTGTCAATAAAAGTATTTTTTTTTAAAAAAGAGAAAGAGGCAACAGGGAATGGTAGGGACTGAGGCAAAATGACATGCACTTGACACATCAAAGGAGTAACTTTTTCGTGGATATGGCAATGGATTAATTTTATAAATTCATTCTTCACAGATTTGTAAGTGATCAAGATAGATTTTGAGCCGAAACCGGTTTGGTTCAGTGGTAGAACGTTGGTCCCGGGTTCGATTCCAGTCAGGGGCATGTACGTTGGTTGCGGGCACATCCCTAGTAGGGGATGTGCAAGAGGCAGCTGGTCGATGTTTCTCTCTCATCGATGTTTCTAGCTCTCTCTCTCTCTCCTTTCTCTCTGTAAAAAATCAAAATATATTAAAAAAAAGATTTTGAATGCATAAAGTAACATTTCCAAAGTTCTGAAAAGATGTTTCATATTTCATCTGTTATCTTGTAGAGCTTCTGGTCTAGCTTCTGTTTGATTCCATAGTCTAGAAATAACAATAGCAATCTCATGGTTCACTTACTGTCCTAGCAATTCACATACTTTGATTTATTTAATCCTTCCTACGGCCTTGTAAATCAGAGACTATCATAGTCCCCATTTTATAGCTGAGGAAGCTGAGGCAGAGAGGCGAAGTCAATTTGGCCAAGACACACAGCCACTAAACGGTGTAGTGGAATGTAAAGCCCGGCAGTCTGGCTCCAGAGCCACCCTCCCACCTCCCTCTTCCTGTTACCTGAGATAAATTAGCAAACACAAAGTGTCCCTTACGCCCGGGAGCAGGCGTAGGCCAGTTTCAAAGTCCACGTGATATCCTCCTGGTCCCAATGACTTGACGTGTAATTCCTTGTATCTTAATGCATAGATTTTTGCCATTTTCTTCCCCGTCTCTGTTGAGATTGGCAGGCTCTGCCATTGAATTTGCTAAGTCATAAGTTGTAATGAAGGAGTTGGGGAAGTGATTTTGAGCGTTAGGAGGAAAAGGTCAATCACAAAGTCAGAAGTCAAAGGAATTCTCTCAAAATTAGGTCCAAGCCGAAACCGGTTTGGCTCAGTGGACAGAGTGTCAGCCTGTGGACTGAAAGGTCCTAGGTTCGATTCCGGTCAAGGGCATGTACCTTGGTTGCAGGCACATCTCCAGTAGGGGGTGTGCAGGAGGCAGCTGATCGATGTTTCTCTCTCATCGATGTTTCTAACTCTCTAGCCCTCTCTCTTCCTCTTTGTAAAGAATCAATAAAATATTTAAAAAGTTAAAAAAAAAATTAGGTTCAAATCTTTCAGCTGCTTTTTCCTGTAACTTCACAATGGCAGATATGCTTTCATTTTTCCAGCTGGGCATTGCCGTGCTATTATTTTCCAGTTTTCCTTTAATTTTTAGGTACTGATAGTTCAAGGACCAAGGCTCTATCTTGAACGACCCTTCCCCCCCTTTCCATGGCACGCTGTAGTTCTCTCAAAGGAGCTCCCTGCCTCTCTATTCCTGTTTTTTTTTTTTTTTTTTTTTTTTCTTTCTAAAATCTATACCTAAATACTCACTGCCATTAACATCATCACCAGAGAGTTCGGTGTATATGGATAGAATTGCAAATAGAAGTTCAGTCACAGTGACTGATCAGACGGAGTCGGATGAGAAGGCAACCAATTTGCATTTTCTTCAGCCGAGTGGAAATGGCACACATCCTGTGCCACACTTCGTGACATCTGGGAGAGTGTGATGATCCCCTGCCTGTTTAACTGAGCGCTGCTCCCAGGTCTGCTGGGCTTTGGTGATGCGTTTCAGCATCGTTGGCAGACCCTTGCATCTCTTGGCTGTGTGCCTGGGGCCTGCATCATGAGGGCTGGCACAGAGGGAATCGTCGTTGGCACTTCCGACTGTTCCAGTGCTATAACTCACTTGGTGCTTGGGCCATCCTGCTTCTCTGCCTGCCCAGTGGGGTCTGTTACTGAGAGGTGTCTGGTGATGGACCCCCCTCCTATCCACCTGACACTGGCCACTGGCCATCCCACTGATCATCATGCCCATTGCCAAATAGGTCGTGCCCAAGATGCTGCCCTGGGCTGCAGCACTTGCAGTGACAGTGGCATCCTATCTAAGAGTAATATGCAAATTGACCATCACCCCAACACACAAGATGGCCACCCCCATGTGCTCAAAGTTGACTACTCCCATGTGGACACAAGATGGCCACCACAAGATGGCTGGAAGGGGATGGCAGTTGTGGGCGATCAGGTCAGCAGGGGAGGGCAGTTGGGGCGACCAGGCTGGCATGGGAGTGCAGTTAGGGGTGACCAGGCTGGCATGGGAGGGCAGTTAGGGGCAATCAGGAAGGCAGGCAGGCTAGCAGTTGGGAGTCAGCAGTCCTGGATTTTAGGCCCGATCCTGGTGCGAATCAGATTTAGCATATACTGAAATGGGCAGTTGGACATTACCTCGAGGGGTCCAAGATTGTAGAGGGTGCAGGCTGGGCTGAGGCACACCCGTCCCCCATGCATGAATTTTGTGCACCAGGCCTCTAGTGTTTAATAAGAAGCTCCACATGTGATTGTCAGCCACACACTCCTGATTAAGAACCTTGATATAGCCTGGCCAGGTGGCTCAGTGGTTGAGCATTGGCCTATGAACCACAGTTCGATTCCTGCTCAGGGTATATGTCCCAGTTGCAGTCTCCATCCCCAATGGGGAGCTTGTAGGAGGCAGCCCATCGATGATTCTCTCTCATCATTGGTGTTTCTGTCTCCCTGTCCCTTCCTCTCTGAAGTCAATAAACATATTAAAAAAAAACAACTCTTTGGTATAGACATGCTCGTTTAATCCAGCAGTCCTCTCTATTCCTGATGCTCAGCTTGTTTCCAGTTGTTCTTTGTTAAATAACAGGAGTGAGCATATTCATGGATAAATCTCTGTCCTCATTTCTATTTTCTGGGATAAATCCTTAGAGGTCAAATTTTAGACTCAAAGGACAGGCATTTTTTTTTTCCAATTTTTTAAAATATATTTTATTGATTTTTTACAGAGAGGAAGGAGAGGGATAGAGAGTCAGAAACATCGATGAGAGAGAATCATCGATCAGCTGCCTCCTGCACACCCCCCACTGGTGATGTGCCCGCAACCAAGGTACATGCCCTTGACTGGAATTGAACCTGGGACCCTTCAGTCCGCAGGCCGACGCTCTGTTCACTGAGCCAAACCGGTTTCGGCAGGACAGGCATATTTTTAAGGAGGGATGTAAAACATTGTCGCTAGTACTGTGTGAAAGAGTGTAGTGGAGAAAGCATTGGGCCAGCAGAGCAGAGCTTTGGGCAAGTTTTTTGGTTTGGTTTCTCTTCCTTTGGTTTCATTTTCTTCTTTTGTGAAATGATCCCCGTTATGAATCTGCACAGAAGCGATCGTGTGGATGTTACTCGGTCTCGCAATCTTGCAGGTAAGTGCATGAAAGGAGGGAGCATTTGCTGGAGTCCGCAGGGGACTGGCGGAACAGCAGGCTTCCCCTTATGCAGTGTGATGGCTTACTTGAGAATTGCTTCCGGGTTTCAAAGAAGTGATTGCTGTCCTGTATTATAAGGGAAGAAAATCTAGATTGCTATCTGAAATCTAGTTCTTTTTTAGGCCTCTGGTAGAGATTAAAGAGACTTCCCCCACACCTATGCCATGGGTGTGGTTCCCAAGCTGATGACTCCAATATTAATTTCACTTTCGTATTGTTACAGGGAAGCTTTATGGTGATGTTCCTTTTATAGAAGAAAGACACAGACATCGGTATGAGGTACGCTTTTACACTGAATTACTGTGGAATATAGATGCTTAGTGCGGGGAACCCCACAGATTACAAGTGGGCCTCTGAAACAGGATCAGGGAGATGGAGTCCATGGGCATGTGGGGGTAGAGGAGATACCAGAACAAGCCCGGGGCTCTGTTTTGAGGCAGGACTGGTGGAAATGGATGCTGAGTAGGCTACCAATAGTGGAAAATAATTTACTGAGTGGTGAGGGTGATGAGGGGGGTTTGAGAGGTGATGGTAAGAGGGTGCATGGTATATTTTTGGATTGATTGTGGTGTTGGTTGAAACCTGTATACTATCGATAGTATATACCATTGAGTTGTACACTTTTAAAAATTTAATATAATTTTATTGATTTGAGAGAGGAAGGGAGAGGGAGAGAGAAGTAGAAACATCAATGATGAGGGAGAATCATTTATCAGCTGCCTCTTGCACACCCCACACTGGGGATCCAGCCCACAACTTGGGCATGTGCCCTGACAGGCAATTGAACTGTGACCTCTTGGTTCATTATTGATGCTCAACTCCTGAGCCATGCCATATGGGCAAGTTGTACACTTTAAAAAAAATTTATTGATTTTTTTTACAGAGAGGAAAAGAGAGGGATAGAGAGTTAGAAACATTGATGAGAGAGAAACATCGATCAGCTGCCTCTTACACACCCCCTACTGGGGATGTGCCCTGTAACCAAGGTACATGCCCTTGACTGGAATCGAACCCGGGACCTTTCAGTCCGCAGGCCAACACTCTATCCACTGAGCCAAACCGGTTTTGGCAAGTTGTACACTTTTAATGGGTGAATTGTAAGATATATGAATTATATCTCAATAAAGCAGTTAAAAAGGAAGAAAAATTGACAAATTCTGAGAACTAGCCCAATGTGAAAAAAACAAAATAAATGCATGTGTGATTAAGATGAGGAGAGGTGGGACCCCACTCTGGTTTTGGATGAGGAAGTGCTTTTTGTGAAGGAGAGGTTGAAAAGCTTGGGGAAAAGCTCTGATGAGATGAGCGAGGGAAGGGTCTGTGAACCAGGTCATCAAGTTGTCATCTCTAACCAGTATTTTAGTAGAAAACTTGCTCCAAGCTTATTTTTAGAACTTCTATGTAACTAAATATAAATAAAGCATTGGTGTTAGTCACAGGGTAAATAAGATGGTTTCAGTCCTCAAGCAGATTTGTGATTTGGAGAGAGAGAGTTACATTTGCACATAACTCATGGCAAGAAGCAAATATGGGGATGGCTATAAATAGCTGGTCTCAAGGTCTCCAATAAAAAAGGTCTGTTTCACAGTCCTGCTTTCTGAATCTCATCTTTGGGCGAGAGAACACAATCCAGCTTTCTGAATCTCATCTTTGGGCGCGCCTCCCAAAGTTAAGGTTTGTGATTAGGCTGCTTCTCAGGTTCACCATGAGTTTAAAAATAGGTTGAATATAGAAATTAACTACTGGTTAGAACATCACGGAAATGGAAAAACCCACCCAGTTGATATATGCCCTTTTAATAAGCTGATATGTCTGTATTGCTCTGCTGCCCAAAGACATTTAATTTCTTGGTTTTTTTTTTCAGGTGAACCCTTCCTTGGTCAACCAATTTGGGCAGAGTGACTTACATTTTGTAGGACAGGATGTTGATGGGGAGAGGATGGAAATCATTGAACTGGCAAGTAAGTGGGCTTTTCACTTTTGAATTTTTGTGTTGAGCTAATCTCTTTTTCTTTGCCCATAGACATATGAAGCTGTAACTTGGTACCTGTCTTATTTGATCTTTCCCCCCCCCTCTTTCCTTTGAAATAAATTTGCAACTAAATAGAAAGTATGCAGCTAAGCATACAGTATGTGGGGGGGGGGGGGAAAAAAGACCACTTGTAATCCTGATCATTTGGGGCCTTTTACTATGAATGTGCCATACAATGATGCATTGTCCACACGTTCTATCAGCAGTATGCTTCCTTACCATCCTTACCTCCTTCGCTTGTTTTCAGCATCTAGGTCAGGCACCCTGGGAAAGGCAGGCAGCCCACTGTTGAGTAGTATTTTTCTTTACTTTCTCCTTTGAGGAAGAATGGCCCAGTGCTGTCTCACTATTGGTGACTGGTATTGACATCTCTTGTGTGTGGGACCTGGCCCCTCATTTCACCTGGTGCCTGCCTTTCCTTATTGCTCATGCTCCATGGTCAAGTGTGGGCCAGTTGCTGCACTCAGACTAATTTAAAAAAATATATTTTTATTGATTTTTTACAGAGAGGAAGGGAGAGGGATAGAGAGTTAGAAACATCGATGAGAGAGAAACATCGATCAGCTGCCTCTTGCACAGCCCCCACTGGGGATGTGCCCGCAACCAAGGTACATGTCCTTGATCGGAATCAAACCTGGGACCCTTCAGTCCACAGGCTGATGCTCTATCCACTGAGCCAAACCTATCAGGGCCTCAGACTAATTTTTAAAAATTTATTTATTGGGTCTACGGCCATACCACCCTGAACGCGCCCGATCTCGTCTAAAAATTTATTTATTGGTTCCTTAGAGAGAGAGAGAGAGAGAGAGAGAGAGAGAGAGAGAGAGAGAGAGACATCGTTTTGTTGTTCCACTCATTTATGCATTCATTGGTCGGTTCTTGTATGTGCCCTCACTGGGGAATCGAACCCACAACTTTGGCATATTGGGAAGATGCTGTAACCAACTGAACTACTCGGGCAGGACTGCATTCAGACTTCTTAGTGAGATCAAACATACACAAGGGAATTTGACTTCTGTTGAGGATGATCACTGAAGAAGTTGTGTGGCTGGGCAGGGGCACTTCAGCAGCATAGGCACAGAGCATACATGTGTTATTGACAGAGGACAGTGTTCTCATTCAAAGCTGCAAAGGCAGGGTACACTCATGCATACAGCTGGTCCCAGCTCTCTCTCTTGCTTTTCTAGCCCAGGGCTTGCCAGACTTCGGCTGGTGGGCCAGATTCAGTCTGCTGACTCTTTTTGTTCAGTTTCATGCTCTAAGAATGGCTTTTACACTTTTCAATAGTGCCAGGGTTTCTCACCCTCACCGCCACTGACATGTGGAACAGGATCATTCTTTGTGGTGGGGGCTGATGCTGGATATTTGACAGCATCCCTGGTCTCTACCCACTGGATGCCAGTAGCACTACTGCCCCACCCTCCAAGCTTCGACACTAAAAAACAAGTTGGTTGGGAACCCAGTTTCAAATTGTCAGGTTTGAAATTGGATTTATTTAGCTCCCTTGCCTCTTCATACCCCCAACTTGTAATCGGTTCTCAAGTCCTGTAGATTCCATCTCTGGAAAGATCTCTTAAAAAAAAATATTTTATTGAATTTTTATAGAGAGGAAGAGAGGGGTAGAGAGTTAGAAATATCGATCAGCTGCCTCTTGCATGCCCCTACTGGGGATGTGCCCACAACCAAGGTACATGCCCTTGACCGGAATCCAACCCAGGACCTTTCAGTCCTCAGGCCGATGCTCTATCCACTGAGCCAAACCGGTTTCGGCTGGAAAGATCTCTCTTGGTTGCCATTGTATTCTCATCCCTACCACCCTAATCCTAGGTTGTGATGACTCCAGCAAGGACAGAGCTCTGGTTGTGTAATCTATGTGACACCAGTTTGTTGTCTAAACCACTCTCACTTATTGAGTGCTTAGTATGTACAGGATACTCTAAAAAAATAGTAGCATAATAGTCTAGAATCTCCCTTTTCACCTATATCCTTTAGGCTCTGGATAACTTACTTACACTTCTAACTTTCCTACTACTTTTTCTATCTTAGCCTGTGTCACCATCCTTCGTTTCAAATTCCTTTGGCCCTTTCCTTTTCTGTCTCTAGTCTGTAAGGTACTTCAGGAATCCCCAGGAGGTGGGAGAGTTGAAGTTGGAAAAGGCATTTTTGTACTTAATAGTATGTTGCCTGTATCCTGAAAGAAGGAAAGCAATGGACATTAAGTGTGCACCCTAGATGCTTCTCACTAGACCCTCCCCCCAAGGACTCTGAATGCCTTATGCAAATTACAAGGCTAATGATGTTATGATGTAATTCCCACCTCACAGAGAAGGAGACTCTGTGTGCAAAGAAGTGAAGTAAATTGCCCAGGGCCATCCAGCTAGCAGCTGGCCAGGTTATTGATTCCTTCTGCCACCACTCCTGTGGGATTTTATTGTTCCTTCGTTTTCATTGGACATTCCATTTAAGATTATCAATCCACGTTTTGATTTAGAATATGAGTATTTCCCATAGTCTTCCCAAGGGGAATGCCCGTCATTTAGAATTTATATATCGATAGCGTGGATCGCTGGCGTGCGTGTGAGAGGTCAGAGGCATTCTTAAACATTACTATTTGTTTCCTTGGTTCAAATATTTATTCTCTGTTAATTCTCCTGGTTCTCATTATTTTCAGCAAATATTAGAAGTCGCTTTCAACCGCAAAGTTTTAGATTTCCATTGACACTTGCAAATTTCCTGTGGGTTGTAAGGGGAATGAGAGTTGCTGTATAACCTTGCGACTTTGAAAAGCTGACCACAGGCAATTGATTTTATTATGGAGAATTCTCCAGAATATTTGGATCTTGGCTCCCTCTTAGAAGCATACTCACGAATCTCTGTATTACTAAAGCAACTCTAAAAGGAACAACAAAGCTTGAGATCAGTACAATGTCAGAATTTGGTTCAAAGCAATTAAGAGAATTATTTAAAAGATACTTTGACTGCTAGAACATCACCAAAATAAAAATTTTATAGTCTCCTTCCTCATATTAGCATAGGGGATTTTTGGGATAAAGTGATTCAGAGCAATGATCCATTCATTTAAATATTCTGTCCCTGACTCTGACATGATCCATTATTCAGCTTCTGTCTGTAATGGTACAAAAACACAATTACTGTCTGCTTCTTTCAACGATATCACTGGATGCTGTGCTGTAAGATTTATCGCATCTTAAATTTAAAGCTACATTGCTTAGTTTCTTTTCTAAGTGTGGATGATTTCTCTTCTAGTTTTCTTGGGATACATTCCTGAGAGAAGGTGGCATTCCCCTCACCAAACTTTCATTCCTGAGTGTCCCTCTAATTTAAGGAGGTTTCTTCTTAGATGTGATATAGAGCAAGCATGTCAAACTCAAAGGCTAACACGGGCCAAATAAACAATGTTTAAATTTACTTGGGCAGCAAGAAAACAAAAGCTTCACCCTAGCCGGTTTGGCTCAGTGGATAGAGCGTCAGCCTGTGGACTGAAGGGTCCCAGGTTCGATTTCTTTCAAGGGCATGTACCTTTGTTGCAGGCACATCCCCAGTGAGGATTATGCAGGAATCAGCTGAATCAATGTTTCTCTCTCATCGATATTTCTAACTCTCTATCCCTCGCCTTTCCTCTGTAAAAAATCAATAAAATATATTAAAAAAGAAAAGAAAACAAAAGCTTCAATTTTCATAGAAATGTAGGTTTATTTCAGTAGAGTCATGCTGAGTACAAAGGTCTGAAATAAATGTCATCGTTAACATAAAATAATAGAACATTTTAATAAAAATAGTATTTTTTTCTTGAACAGTAACTTACCAGACACTGAATAACTGCACAAATTAATAAGCGTAATGCAAATGAACCTATTTTTCTTGTTTTCTGAAAGCAAAATATTTTCTGTTGTGCACACCAAACAAGTCAGTCCAAGACTAATGACGTGGCCATTGCTGCTAAAATACTACTGGTATTAGTGGAGAGAAATAGTGTGCTTGCGTGTAAGGGAAAGGCATGCAGCACGATTCTAGTAATCAGTCATCAGCAAATGTTGTAGTTTGTTATTAATAATTATGTATAACAGGATATTGTAAAAATTAAGTCACTAAATTTTTATTAAAACGTTTCTTACGTACCGTTATATTGGCTGGGCTGCAAAAATATGTGTTGTGGGCCACATGTGGCCCACAGGCCGTGAGTTTGACATGCTTGATGTAGAGGATTTCACTGGATTTTTGTACACTCAGAGCTGTGCAATAGAACTTGCTGCAATGATACAGTGTTCTGCCCTATTCAATGTGGTAGCCATATGTAGCTATTGAGTATTGAAACATGCTCAATTAATTTGAATAGATTAAAATAGCTGTGTGTGGCTAGAGGCTACCATTTTGTAGAGCAAAGGTTTAAATAACCTTAGAAGAGTGGACATTTGCGATCCATCATCATGTCCTCGCTACTCTACAGTAGCTTTGGGACTCTAATGGCAAATGATGGGGATTTGTGATTTTGAATTACGCACTTGACTTTTAGATCATTTGATAAAACATCTCTCTGAAAGCTTTAACATTGTATTTACTTTTCCCTATAAAACTGGTTTTATCATAGATAGATATAGATATATAGAGATATGTAACTCAACATCAATTTAAATTATTTTTAAAGTAAGGAATAGAGCACACTGACCATGCTCTATACTATAATAATTATGAGATTAAAGAGTAGCCGAATCTCTAATTAGGAGTTTATCCCTAATATGGGAAAAACATAGTTTTTTGAGAGTTCCAATTGGAAAGAAAAATTATATATATATATATATATATATATATATATATATATATATATATATATGTATATATATATATATGGTTTTTTATTGATTTTTTTACAGAGAGGAAGAGAGAGGGATAGTTAGAAACATCGATGAGAGAGAATCATTGATCAGCTGCCTCTTGCACACCCCCCACTGGGGATGTGCCCACAACCATGGTACATGCCCTTGACCAGAATCGAACCCGGGACCTTTTAGTCCGCAGGCTGTCGCTCTATCCACTGAGCCAAACCAGTTTTGGCGGAAAGAGGAATTTTTAATCCTATAAAATTTCTACCCAGATTTAGAAATGTTGCCTGTTTAATTCTTATTATAAAAACGGGATTCCTGTTAAAAGTAGTGGGGGGAAAGCTACTTTTCTATTCTTACTACATCTAGGAGAACTTAATTGCTCATCTAGGGGCTTCTTACAATCCTCAATATGAAAATCACTTCATTTCCTATCCCGGTAATGTAAGTGATATATGCTTATTGTAAAGCTTCACACGATACAGAAAAGTATCAAGAAGAAAAAAAAAATCTTAAACTTTTGTCACCTTGAGCCATAACCACCATTAGCATGTTTGAGAGGCCATCCTTTTATCATTCAACGACCATTTATCACAAGGGATAAGTTGGCATAGAATGAAATATGAGTTCAGTTTCATGGTGCTGTCTGTGATTAATACCCAACTTAGAGCTGCAACTAGAAAAGCAGTTGTACTTGCTGCATTCCCAAGGGACCCTTACCTTGGTGAAGGAGATCTTATAGAAAATGGCCTGAAGCCATCTAAGAGAAAGAATGTCCTACAGTTAGCCTAAAGTGGGAAGGGTACCATGGAAATGAGCACAGTGTAAGTCTATGAAGGACCATCAAAGCAGGCAGATGCCCAGCTGGCGGGGCTCAGCGGTTCAATCAGAAGGTCATGGTTTGATTCCCGGTCAGGGTACATGCCTGGGTTATAGGCTTGATGATCCCCAGTGTGGCTAGTGATCAATGATTCTCTCTCATCATTGAGGTCTCTCCCTCTCCCTCTCCCTCTCCCTCTCCCTCTCCCTCTCCCTCTCCCTCTCCCTCTCCCTCTCCCTCTCCCTCTCCCTCTCCCTCTCCCTCTCCCTCTCCCTCTCCCTCTCCCTCTCCCTCTCCCTCTCCCTCTCCCTCTCCCTCTCCCTCTCCCTCTCCCTCTCCCTCTCCCTCTCCCTCTCCCTCTCCCTCTCCCTCTCCCTCTCCCTCTCCCTCTCCCTCTCCCTCTCCCTCTCCCTCTCCCTCTCCCTCTCCCTCTCCCTCTCCCTCTCCCTCTCCCTCCTCTTCCTCTCCCTTTCTCTCCTCTCCCTCTCCCTCCTCTCCCTCTCCCTCTCCCTCTCCCTCTCTGAAATCAATAAACATTTATATATATTTTTAAAAAGCAGGCAGATTTTGGGAAAGCAGAATTTATCTCGCCATTCAAAAATTTTTGCTTAACATTGCTTATTCTAATACCACCTTCTACAAATAAAATGTTGGATTTTTATCATGGGAGATGTGTTTTGTAATTTGAAATTCTGGGAAGATGGACTGTGACAATAACTGGTTATGTGAAAATAACTGGCTATGATGATAAGTTAAAAAGTTATCTCATCGTGGAATGAGTTTCTGATTCAAAGATAAGACCTTCAAAGTATTTCTCCTGTTTGCTTCAATCACATCATCATTGTTCTCATTTCAGATCACCCCTATTTTGTTGGTGTCCAATTCCATCCCGAGTTTTCTTCTAGGCCGATGAAGCCTTCTCCTCCATACCTGGGACTATTACTTGCAGCAACTGGGAACCTGAATGCCTACCTGCAACAGGGATGCAAACTGTCCTCCAGGTAACCAGCTTAACAATGACCCAAGATGCCGTTATCAACACTCTAGGTTTCTCATAAACTTAAAAAATATGCTTTTATTGATTTCAAAGAGAGGAAGGGAGAGGGAGAGAGAAAGAAAGAAACATTCATGAAAGAGATACATTGATTGGCTGTCTCCTGCACCCCCCCTTCCCCCAACAGAGAGTGAGCTGCAGCGTGAGCATGTGCCCTGACTGGGAATTGAACTGGTGACCTCTGGGTTCATGGGTCGCAATGTTTGACACCTGAACTTACACCTGCTGGGCTGATTTCTTTTTGAAGTGAAGGAACCAAGATGTCGCAGGTTCATTCTGATCAGGGCATATGCCTGGGTGGTGGGCTCGATTCTCCATCTCCAGTGGGAGATGTGCAGGAGGCAGCCGATCAATGATTCTCTCTCAGCACTGATATTTCTATCTCTCGCTCCCTCTCTCTCTCTTAAAAATCAATAAAAACATTAAAAGAAAAGAATAAGTGAAGAATTGTTTTTTCCTTCTTAATAATTGTGACTTTTTCTCTTAATAAAAATGATCTAATCGTATCTACAATAGTAACCTAACAGTTTTCCAAATTATGCTAATTCTGGGGCATTATTTTAGAAATTTTTGTCATTTTGATAAGTGAAAAATAGGATTTTTTGTGTGGATTCTGATTAATAAATATATATAAATGTGTTATTGGCTCTTTGTTTTATAAATGATCTGTTCATATCCTTTCCCCTACTTTTCCTTTTGCTATTATATCTTTTTTTCTTAATGATTGGCAAGCTCTTTATATATAAAGGACATTAATCCTTTGTTAGGTTGCAAATACTTTTTCAAAATGATTTTGTTTTCTTCTGAGTTGTCAATGGTAGTTTTTATTTTCCTTAAAGAGTTTTAAATAAGGAATTTAAATAAGCTCTTATTTATGCATATATTTTTTATTTATATATATAGTCAAATCTTTTATGAATTATGTTTTTTGTATAAGTGTGTAAAGTCTTTTCTTATCAAAAGATTATATAAATAATATTCCATTTTTTACACTAGCACTTTTATGGTTTTTATTTTAAATGAAGCTTAAATCTCTAATTTATATGAACTTTATATTTGGTATAGTGTGTGAGGTAGGGATCTGCTCCCTCCTACCCCCTAACCCCAATTGTTAGTAAGTTGAGTAATTTAAATTTGTTTCAGGGATTTTTGTTTTGTTCTGTTAATGATTTTACCTCTTATTTCTGAACCCGTACAACCCTTTTCATCATAGAATTATTGTAAATCAAGTCTATTCCCATTATTGTTTAACATTTAAAAAAAGGTATTTTGCTGCTCTTCCAGATTAACTGTAGAATGATTTTTGAAATTGAGTAAAGTAATCCATTATAGATTTTCATCAAAATTTCTTTACATTTAAATATTAATTTGGTGGGAATTCATATTTTACATTTTCTCATCCAAGAATATTATCTATATTAATATAAAGAGTAATATGCCAATTAGACCAGGAGACCTTCTGGAGACCTTCTGGACGTCCTTCTGGACAAAGCCATGGTGGCGAGGCTGAGGCAGAGGCAGTTAGGAACCATCAGGCCATCAGGGGAGAAATTAGGGGTATCAGGCTGGCAGAGGATGGCAGTTGGGGGCGAGATCAGGCAGGCAGGAAAGGGCAGTTGGGGATGAACAGGACAGCAGGTGAAGGCGGTTGGGGCAATCAGGTTGGTAGGTGAAGGTGGTTAGGGACGATCAGGCAGGCAAGTGAGTGGTTAGGAGCCAGTGGTCCCGGATTTTGAGAGGGATGTCCGACTGTGGAATCGGGCCTAAACCAGCAGCCGGACATCCCCTGAGGGGTCCCGGATTGGAGAGAGTGCAGGTTGGGCTGAGGGACCCCCTCCCCCACCATCATGCATGAATTTTGTGCAGTGGGCTTCTATAATAGTATCAATATATAATAACTTTAAAAGTGGAAGGAACTAGCCACAATTATAGACTATATCTAAGTTAGCACCCTACCTAGGATTAGTACCGTAATAATTGGATATGTATTATTTAGAAGATTACCAGTGCTGACCCTCATTCTAGCAAACAACCCTTGTGATATTGCAATTGAGGACTGCTGGGATTGGTGCATGGTGTGTAAGCGTGTGCTTGTGTTATGAAAGCTGCTTATTTGCCACATTACCTGCTAGGGCAGTGGTCGGCAAACTCATTAGTCAACAGAGCCAAATATCAACAGTTCAACAATTGAAATTTCTTTGGAGAACACTTTTAAAACTTCTTCTAACGCCACTTCTTCAAAATAGACTCGCCCAGGCCGTGGTATTTTGTGGAAGAGCCACACTCAAGGGGCCAAAGAGCCTCATGTGGCTCATGAGCCACAGTTTGCTGACCACGGTGCTAGGGGATGCTCACAGTTCCATAACATGTCCTTTAACTGGAAGTTCATATGGGAGCAGGCTTTATATATTTTCCATGTCAGGCGTCTTACTGAATTAATGATCACTCCTTGCATTCTTGAACCAGTGCACTCATTTTCATGCTGTGCCTTATGGAGCTGGAGTCTGGCCAGCTGTGAAGAGCAGGCTGAGGGGCTCCAGGCTCTTCCCTGCTCCAGCCAAGCAGGTCCACTTTATCTGGCTCATGTAGCGTGGTTCAGCATGAGATTTCACGCAAAGATGAACTTCCTGTGTTCTGAGGCTGCATGGCTTATGCAGCAGATTGGAGATTTCAGTGTGTTCCCATGTTGGATGTGTGCTGTGACCCTTATCAGCTACTTTATTGTCTCCACTAGAGGCCTGGTGCATGTAGGGTCCCTGGGCCTGGTCGGCAATCAGGGCCGATCGGGACCTTCCAGCTGCCAGCCAGGGTCTCCCTTCCCAGGCTTTCCTTCATTCTGTGCCACCCCCTGGTGGTCAGCACATGTCATAGCGAGTGATTGAACTCCTGATCAAACTCCCGAAGGGACAATTTGCATATTGGGCTTTTATATATATACACACAAAATAGATTATTTCAGTGATCATATGTGAAAGGAGGGTGGCAATGGAGCAAATTAGATGGCTGGGAGAACTCACTCACACATAACTCAACATAACTCTCTGGTTGTTTGCAAACATCAACTAATATGCAAATGGTATCTGGGTATGTGGCCTATCCACACGTATGCTGGATGGCCCGCTGATTCTCGCATGGGGCTGGTGGTTTCTGGGTAAAGTTTACTGGTAGTTTCTGAAAAAAGTGACTGCTTGCTCTTGACTCCTGAGCAAGACACAGTACGTCTCAGAGAAAAGGAAAATCCTCCTACCAAAACTCTGATGCTGATATTGGTATTACAACAGACTAACAGACTTCCATGGTTGGCAGAGAATTCCTATGTATTAGCCACACACTGGTGCTTCCTTAAGAGCAGCCAGCAGCTTATTTATCTCTGTCTCCCCGGCTCCCTGGCATACAGATTTGTTTGTTTTTTATTACCCATTAAAGTAATAAATGTGATAGCAGGGAGAATGGATATAGTCTGTTCTAATCTTAACACCTTGCAGGGAGGTTTCCAACTAAGAATGGTGAATTAATCCAGTGACAGATGCCAGGATTCCAGAGGAACCTTGCACTTCAGCTCCTCTCTGCCCACCTCCATGGCATGAGTGAGCATTGAAAAGCAAAGGATGGCTTTGATGGCCAAGCTCTAATGTGAGCTGAATTAAGACTATATTTTTGTCAAACAAGATTGCTGTCGGTTATCAATCCCAAACAAATGTGACAAGGAATATGAACTTTAGAATAATGACTTCCTTTCCCAGACATTGGCTCCTGATATTTAACTCTATGATACCTGTGCAGCCCACATCTTTCAAACACAGAATGTGAAAATCCTTGGTTTTGAGCAGTTTCACCTGAGCTGTAACCCAGCATTTTGCGTTGTGGAGAATATTTATCTTTTAGTGCCTAGAAAGTTGCAGTAAGAATATCATTTTGGGCCCTAGCCGGTTTGGCTCATGGATAGAGTGTTGGCCTGCAGACTGAAGGGTCCCAGGTTTGATTTTGGTCAAGGGCACATGCCTGGGTTGTGGGCTTGATTCCAGTGGGGGGGGGGGCGTGCAGGAGGCAGCCGATCAATGATTCTCTCTTATCGTTGATGTTTCTACTAGTATCCCTCTCTTCCTCTCTGAAACCAATATTTAAAAAAGAATATAATTTTGGGATCTAGAGCTGGTGAGCTAAATTCTCAGATGCTCCACTATCTATAGAATGATAGCAATTATGAAGACTATTCCAACTTGTTGTAGACTTTAGTGGTATGTTCAAGATGCATAACAGTTCTAGGATAGTATTTTTTAGGCTTTTTAAAGCTAAACAAAACTTATATGAAAAATAAAACTGAGGGTCTTATTTTTCGGGGTCCCCCAAGACCACCCATACATTGGATGATTCACTAGAAGGAATCAGAATATAGTTGTACCCATGCTAAAATTTATTACAGTGATGGAATAAGCATACACAGCTGGATCAGTAAAAGAAAAAAGTATAAGTGAAGTCTGGAGAAATCTGCAGTTTTTTTTCTTTTTTTAAAATCCTCACCTGAGGATATTTTTTCCATTCATTTTTAGAGAGAATGGAAGGGAGAGGGAGAGACAGAGAAACACCAATGTGAGAGACATCAATTGGTTGCCTCCTGCATGCCCTTTCCCCCAACCAGGGCTGGGAGCCTGCAACTGAGGTATGTGTCCTTGACTGGAATTGAACCTGGGACCCTTCAGTCCACAGATCAATGCTCTATCCACTGAGCCAAACGGGCTAAGGCTGTTTGCAGGTTTTCTGTGCTCTCTCCCTTCTGTGAGAAGTCACACAGAACTCCCTCTCCCTCTGTCAATAAAAAGGCAACAACGTGTGTGATGTGTATGCCCAGGGAAGCCCATTTGAGACTCAGAGTTTAGGGTTTTTATTGGGGGCTGGTTACACAGGCTTTTTCTTTCTAGCAACCGCTCAAATTCCAGACTCTGAAAA